ATTGTCGAGTCATTAGCCATTCCCAGATATGTCAAACACAAAAGGTTTGTTGTCCAACATCAGTCGTTGCACATTTTCTCTGACGCATCCGAGGTTGGTTATGGAGCCGTAGCTTACCTGAGATGTGAGTCGCTACGACAAGTTGACTGTAGCCTTCTAATGGGAAAAGCAAGAGTAGCACCCCTCAAGTCAGTTACTATCCCACGCCTTGAACTTCAGGCCGCTGTATTAGCGGTTAGACTAATGCGCCACCTGGTGAAGCAGCTCGAAGTCCGATTCGACAACATATACTTTTGGACAGACTCAATGATTGTGTTGCACTATATTCTTAGCTGTTCTTAGCACAAGTTTGAGGTTTAAGACCTCTGTGGCCAACCGAAGTAGCTTCATACATGAAAATACCAACACTTCCCAATCGAGACATGTCCCGACCAACATGAATCCTGCCGACTGTGCATCACGTGGTATCCGTACAAAACATTCTCAGCTATTGAGGCTTTGGATTCAAGGACCTGAGTTCCTGAAGCTCGGTGAGCAGCACTGGCCCAAGACTGACATCGAACAACTTCACCATGAGCCCACAAACCTAGAGTTGAAGAAAGCCGTCACAGTTTTATTTAACGCGGCAACTGAGCTTCCGACAGACGTGTTGCTCTCATACTATTTCTCATGGTTGAGGCTACGACGAGCGGTAGCTTGGTTTGTCAGGTTCAGATCTTACCTCAGCAGTAAGAGAGTTGGTAAGGATATGGAACTTAGAAATACCCTAAGGCTCGACGAGCTGAACGAAGCAGAACGGTCGATATTGCGGTATATTCAGCTGAAAACTTTTCCCTCGGAGCTCAGCACATCTTATAAGCTTGACTCGAAGCCATGTAAAGGGCTATATAGGAAATCACCGATTTACAAGTTACGTCCGATCCTTCTCAATGACCTGCTATGTGTGGGTGGTCGACTGGGCAATAGCACTGCGAAAATTTGAAAAGCACCCTATAATCCTCCCAGGAGATCACCCCGTAATGCGAGGCATAATTCATCATCATCATGAACTTGAAGGTCATATGAGCACTTCACATACTCTAGCAGCTATACGACAACGGTATTGGATCTTAGGTGCTACCGCAGCCGTCAAGCGAATCACCAGGAGATGCATGGGATGCAAAATAAGGTCAGCTGTCCCAGCCGAACAATTAATGGCAGATCTCCCAGTTGCCCGAGTAAGGCCAGAATACCCCTTTGCAAAGACAGGTGTTGACTACTTCGGACCGTTTCAAACTCGCGAAGGCCATATTACGAGGAAGTGGTATGGCTGTATCTTTACA